GCGGCGGGCGAGGGTCCCGCGGCCGGAGGGGCAGGCTGAGCCCCGGACGCGGCTCCCCGGCTGCGGCCTCGGGCTCTCCCGGAGGGGCTGCGGCGCCTCCCCTCGGCCCGGGCGATGGCGTCGGAAGAGGCGGCTATGGCCGAGGCCACGAAGGCCCCCGCGGACTCCGGGTCCCCCCGCGCACGTCCCGCCGCCGCCCCCGCCAGGTAGGCCGCCCGAGACCGCGGCACGGAGCGAGCCCTGCGGGGAGGGCGGAGCTGCGCCTGGAGGGTCGCTCGGGCCCTTGGAGGCCCGCCGAAGCCCCGGCCTCTCCGCCGCTGCCCACCGAGAGGGGCAGAGCAGGCGGCGCCTTGCCCAGGAGAGCCGGGCAGCTCTCGGTGCCCGTCTCGGCCTCCGCGGGGGAGGGGGGCTGGCTGGGGGGCGCCGGGTGCGAAGCCGCCTTTGCGGGCGCCGAGCGGGGCTTTCGGCCCTGCCCTGCGGACCCTTCCCCAAGGCCAAGCGGCCCTTCTCTCCGGCGCCAGCGTTGGCAAGCGGTTTCCCCGGAAGGCCGCGTGGGGGAGGGATCCTAGGGGGGTCCCGTGATGCACGTCTAGAAAACGGACTGATGAGGCTCCTTCTCTCCCCGCTTGGCCGCCCTCAGGGACCTTCCTGCCGACAGGAGCAGCTGCCTCCCCCTGGATCCCGCCAAGGGCGGCCGGCCGAAGGAGCCGCCGGAGGATGAAGCCGCAAGGGATTCCCAAGGGCCGGACTCTCCCTCTTCCGCCTCCTCTTCCTGCTCGCTGCTTCCCAGCCACCGCAGCCCCCCGGAAGAGCCTTCCTTGTCTGAGGCTGCTGAGTTGCCCCCGGCCAGCCCCTCGAGTGAGGCGCCCTCCTTGCCTGACCTGGACAATGCTGTGGGAGAAGAGAGAGCCTCCCCGCCTAGGGAAAGTCTACCACCGGCCCCGCTGCTGCTTCCACAGACGGCCCACCCCAAGGACCTTAACTGCTCCGAGGCTGAGCTGGGGGCTTTGATCTTGCAGTACGGAAGGCGGCAGAATGGGTGCCCCGATTTGGAAGATGTGCCTCTGGCAGCCGCTTTGGGCGTGAAGAGCCAGGGCCAGGAAGATGATGGGGCTGCAAAACCGTCCCAAAACATTGCAGTCCAGGTCAGGGAGTGGTGAACCTTCCCAGCAGGAAGCGGGGCTGGGTGGGGGAGGCTGGGGATGCCCGGAAGGGGCCTAGTTCTGCATTGAAATGCAGCAAAGAAGTGCAGGCAAAATGCAGGTGGTTTTCTTGCCTCTGCGGCAGTCCCAAGAAATTGGGGGGAGGGGTGGGGGGTGGAAGAGAAAGAGAACATCGAGCTCTCTTCTCTGCGCCAGCTAACGTCGTGATGGAGGCCAGGCCGGGCCCCAAACCCGTGAGGTGCCACTTGACCAGAGGCTGCCAGGCAGAAATGATGGAGTCGGAGAAAGTCACATTTCCTCCTCTGGCTGATGACAAAGAAACCCTTTTCTCCCTTTGCAGACTGACTTCAGGACTGCTGACTTGGCAGCCAGCACGGACCTGGACATGGAGAAGAACTTGGTGAGTAGGGGACCCTCCTCTCCTGGTGGTGCTGGGGCTGTGACTAAAAGGCGCCAGGCTCATCCTGTGGAGAAAGGGGGCTTTATGCACCCCGCTTGTTGACCTGTTCCGCTTGGCCTCCTCCCAGGTCAGGGTCTTCTAAGCCAGCCGGGGGGGGGGGGGGGGCTTCGGTCGTGCTGGCTTAAGGCTTTGTCTTTTGAAGGTGCCCCGTAGAATTCAAACCTCCCTCTTGCTGCCCGATAGGACAAGATGATGTCCGAGAGAGCTTCCTTGAAAGAGCGATACCAAGAGGTCCTGGACAAGCAGAGGCAGGTGGAGAACCAGCTGCAGGTGCAGCTCCAGCATCTGCAACAGCGCAGGGAGGAAGAGATGAAGAATCACCAGGTGGGCCTGCAGTAGCCGGTCGGGGGGTGGTGGTGCCAGGCTCAACCCAGGGGGGCACCGGGGAAGAAGGAGGGGGCGATGCTGCTTGGAGGAGAATTTGAGGGACTTCTGAAATCCCATCTGACACCAGAAACGGAGAGCAGCCGAGCGGGTTGTTGGTTGAAGATTGTGGAGCCCCAGCAAAGCATCTAGAACTTTCAAGCCGCTTTGAGGGTGCTGAGAAAATGCCGCTCCTGCTTCTTGTTTTCTGGCCCAGGAGATCTTGAAGGCCATCCAGGATGTGACCTCTAAGCGGAAGGAAACGAGGAAGAAGATGGAGAAGGAGAAGAAGGAGTTCCTGCAGAAGGAGCAGGACTTGAAGGCAGAAATTGAGAAGCTCTGTGAGAAAGGCCGGAGGTATTTCAGGGGAGCAGCTGCTGGCCTCTTCAGAAAGCTGGTTCTGGAGGGGGCAGCAGGTCACGGATAGGGGTGAGGTGGGGCTGGGGCTGCATCTGGGCCCCCATTTCTCCTGCAGGCCTTCTGAGTCAGGCGTCCGGGAGGTCAGCATTCAACCTGCTGGGCCTCCAGGCCCCCTTGGGCTCTCCCTGGGGGTCTTGAGCCCAAAGCATTCAGTGGGCTGCCCTTCTCTTTCCTCCCTCAGGCTGTTGAAGGAGCAAAAAGAGAAGGAGAGCAAGATTGTTTCGCTGATTGCTGAACAGGCGGAGGAGAAGTAAGCGGTGGGAGGGGGGGGTCTTCTGCATCTCCCTGAAGGTCACCGCAAATGGAAAGCAGGGGAAGGGACTCGTCCTCACTGTGCCTGAGGCCCCTTCGTACTTCTGCCAGCTGACATGGCTTGAGGGTGGGTCCTCCGGGGCTCCTGGCAGGCTCCTTTGCTCAGCGGCGTCTGCTTGCTCTGCAGGGAAGCCTGGGAACTGGAGCTGGGCAAGCTGAAGAACCAGCAGAGCGACATCAGCCGCTCGATCTTGGAGGAGACAGAGCGGGCCTGGAAAGCAGAGGTGGGGGAGCGCTAAGCCGCCTCGGGGGCCCATTTGCATCGGTGGGAAGGACAGCAGGGCCCCTCTCCGGATAGTCCTTCGGCAGCAGCAGCCAGGAGGCTGGTGTGGTGCCAGATGCCCGGGTGGGGGTGTGTTATTGTGCCCCCATCAGACAGCATGAGCAACCTGCCCCCCCCTTCTCAGATCCTGTCTCTGGAGAGCCGGAAGGAGCTCCTGGTGCTGAAGCTGGAAGAGGCCGAGAAAGAAGCAGAGCTGCACCTCACCTACCTCAAGTGAGCGGGGCTGAGTGGGCAGAGAAGGCCCTGTTGCCGAGGGGCCATCCTGGCCTTGGAAGCCGATGGGCGAGTCGCTCCAGCCGCCTTTGGGGCAAAAGGGGCGATGCCCTCTGCAAGAGGGAGGCCTGGAGCGGAAGCCTCCCTTTCCCCCGGGTGGTGGTGGGGGGCCGCTCCTCTCCCGCTCTTTGCCGTGCTTCTGCTGGGGGGCTGAGCCCTGCGCGCGGCTGCCCCGTGCCCCTTCCCCTGCTTCAGGCAGGCCTCCTCGCCCCCCATGACGCCACCCTTGCCCTTCTGTGACTGAGGGTGCGACGCCTCACTCAGAACCTTGGGCTTAAACGACTCGGGGAAGGAGAGGAGCAGGGCAGCTGAGGCTGCTCCCCCTGGGCAGCTAGAGGGCCTGGGGGTTTGCCAGCTCAGGACAGAACTCTCCCCCCACCCCCCACCCCTTGGCCTGTCTTGGGTGCAGGTCAGCGCCCCCGACTCCCGAGACCATCCGGCCAAAGCAGGAGTGGGAGACCAGGCTGAGCAAAATACGAATGACCAAGGAGAGCGTCCGCGTGAGTGCAGAAACACCCCCCCCCCCGGTTCCCTCAATGGAGGGGGACTTGTGCCCCTCAACATCATGGGAGGTATCCAAGGGCTGCCGCTGTGGAGGCTTTGTGGTCTGGGGGCCGGAGGGAAGCGGGAAAGGCCCCTGGAGGAAGAGGTTTGTGGGTCGCCCCCTTGTTGAGGTGCCTCTGGAGGTCTTCCCCAGGACTGCTGTGCCTCCCACCCTGCTTCCCTCCTCCTCCTTCACCCAACACGCATCTGTCTCCTAGGACAAGTTCAACGACCACATCCAGCTGGTACGGAACGGGGCCAAGCTGAGCAGTCTCCCACAGATCCCCACCCCCCCACTGCCCCCGCCCCCACTGGAGGTGAGCCAGGGGGCGCAGAAGGCGGCGATCGGGGCCCTGGGCACTGCCAGGCACCGGACTAACGGTCTTCCTCCTCCTCCTCTCCTCAGACAGACTTTCTGCTGCCTCCTTTCCAGGCCAGTCCGACTCTCGCCCCCCAGCTGCCCTTCCCCCTTGGGTCGGTTTCCATGCCCCCGATGGTCATGCCCAGTGCCGACCCACGGGTGCTCTCCTTCCCCCTGCTGAACCCCGGCCTCATCGCCAGGCCCAGCCAGCCTTCGCCCACTTTGCCCGCCGCCCAGGAGCGGAGCAGCCCCTGCCTCACTTCCCTGGCCAGTCCCCACGGGGCGCCCGGGCCCTCGCTGCCTCCCCCGCCAGGCCTGGGTGGAGCCAAGACTCCATCTGACTTCCAGAGAGCGCCCCCTGTGGACAAGCTGGAGAAGATCCTGGAGAAGCTGATGTCACGCTGTCCTCAGTGTAACAAGTGAGTGTGGGGGGGGGGCTGCTTTGACCCCCGTCTGCCCTGGCAGAAGGGAAGCATCTGGGCTCAGACCGATGGGACCGCCTGGCCCCCCTGCAGAGCGCCCTTCTCTGGCAGGGAGGGTCCGGAGGGAGGCCTGCTTGGCCCACGAGGGAAGGCGGCTGGTGGGCAAGGCTGGCCCTGAGCTGAGCCCTCTCCCCTCTGCAGGGCCCAGCTGACCAACGTCCTCCAGCAGATCAAAGCGGCTCGGAGGACCTTGGCGGGACTCACCATGGAAGAGTTGAGCCAGCTGGTGGCAGCCAAGGTGGCGGAGCAGCAGGAACGGGTGGCAGCTGTCGGCACCCAGGTGGGCTGAAGCCTCGGGCATCCCAGGCGCTTAGGAGGCTGCAGGCAAAGCTGTGGGGCGGAGTTGGGCTGTGACTCCGCCTGACGGGTCTGCTTTCCTCTGCCACAGCCCCATAGCCGGATCTGCTCCCCCTTGTTCCCGGGCCCTCTGCCGCAGATCAGCAACCCTTTGTTCTTGCCACCTGCACAGGTCTCCTACTCTGGGACGCCGCCCCAGGTGAGTCCAGCGCCAGGCGACTTCAGCGTTTGCGCAACCCCCCTGTTGGGGGAGACTCCTCCCCCCTCCCTTGCCTGGGCTTCATGCCCCTCTCCGCCTTCTCTCTCTGCCAGGCACCCGTGACCTGCAAACTCTGTCTGATGTGCCAGAAGCTGGTGCCACCCAGCGACCTCCACCCCATGGCCTGTTCACACGTGCTGCACAAGGAGGTGAGGGGGCTGTGTGTGTGTGGCATCAAGAGCATCACCTGGGGCCCCTGGGTAGAGACGGAGTCAGGAGGAGGAGGAGGAGGAGGGGGGGGGGTTGGCATGGCCCCTCCCCCTGGGGCTGAAGGGCGGCTCTTCTTCCCTTACAGTGCATCAAGTTCTGGGCTCAGACGAATGCGAATGACGCCTGTCCCTTCTGCCCCGCCCTGAAATGACCCCGGCCGGAGAGAGCAGGCGGAGGGGCCGTGCGCCCGGCCTTCCCACAGCTCTGTATTTATATATGGCAATGTACACCTGTACATTTTTATTCTAGAGGGAATGTGTGTATAGAAAGTCCACATCCATACCAGTTCATAATAAAATGTGTATATTATGCAGCCGCTGGGCGGGATCCTCCTTTGCCTTCGCCGGAGGGACCAGGGCTCTGCTCCGGATGGTGGGCTGAGAGCCAGAGCATTTTCTCTCTGCTGTGGCCATGCAGCCCCAGGAGGTCGAGGGCTCCGCAGAGCGAGAGAGGCTCTTGTGGGCACCCCGAGTGGCCCGGCCTTCTCTGCTGCCGATGGCAGGCTGGCAGCTGCTGGCCTCACGCTTCCCTCGGAGGGCGTCCGGTTTGTATCAGGACAGACCCCGCCGGGGGTTCTTCTCTGCCCTCCAAGGGCGCAAGGCCCTGCCTGTGGACGCCCCTGGGACTGCAGAGGCTGGCTTAGATTGCCTGGCACCCATCCCACGAACGAAGGGTGTTGGGTGCGCATGGAGGGGGCGGGGGTGCAGGCCTAAAGCTGGGACTCCAGCCACAGGGGACACTCCCGCACTGTGGAGGCACACTGAGAAGGCCTCGCTGTAATGGGCAATGCCAGCAAGTGGCAGCTGCTCCACCTTGAGCGGGACTGGAAGGCACTGATTTTGCCCCCCCTGGGCTGCACATGAATGGCCCTCACAGGAGTGAGAAAGGCGTCCCCGTCCCCTGGCAGCATGAAACCCCACCAAAGAACCTGGCATTTAGCAAAGCACAAAACACAGTTAAAAGGTTTTCCAGCTTTTTTCTTTTTGCATTTGAGACAAAATGGGAAGATTGGGGAGCCAATATTACAAATATTTACAAAATATTGTACAAGGACATGCATTGCAGCTGATCCCCATCTCCCACGGCCGCCTCCTGCGCCGAGGGTCTTCCATGGACAGCAGCAGTGGGGTCTCTGCCCTATCAGCCTCCCCACAGCCGTCTCTCTGCTCTCGGGCAGAGCACAGCCAGGGGCCTGAAAAGGGACCTTCTCACACCCAAAAGGAATTCAGCAGAGGGAAATTTAGCTCCTCACCTGCTTCTGTCCGCTGCAAAGGAAACAAACCCCAGAATAACGGGAGTTGGAAGGGACCCTGGAGGTCAGCTAGCCTGTCCCCCTGCTCAAGCAGCAACCCAAACCACGGTGGAAGCGCTGCCTGTGCTGCCGAGGGCTCTGGCCACCGCCTGTTCCAATCCTGCCTGACCCCCCAAGTGTCGCTCAGCAGAGGCCCCAGAGCAGGGATCAGAGTCCAGGGTGGCCAGCTGCCCGGAGGCCCCTTGACTGGCAGAAAGCATGTTGGGGGCTCACAGCTGACTGTGCCACAGAGCCAGGGGGACGGCCAGGGGCCCCATGGCAGGCCAGCTGCAGGCTACTGAGGAAAGACGTCTCTGTGACTCCGTTCCCTGAGAAGCCTCCGATGCCCCCAACTGCCCAAGGCCACTGGGTGCCCAGGCTGGCAACAGGGCTGGCTCGGCCTCAACCTCTCCAAACCTTCCCACCCTCCTGGGCTGGGAGGGAAAACGCTGGGCCAGATCCGCAGAAGGGGTGAGGGAGAAGTGCCAGGACAAGGCTGCCGATTCGGCTTCCTTGGCATCCAAGACAGCCGGGCAGGAGGCTGGCATCGGAGCCCACCGAGGGGAGGGCAGACTCAGCGCTTGCTTGTTCAACAGGGACTGCCAGTGGGAAGGTTCCATCTCCCCACCTCCCAGAAGTGGGGCCTGGCGCTTTGACCCTAATGGCTCATGGGGCCTCCCTGGAGGGGGGGAGGGGGAGCAACACAAGAAGAGCAGAGAAGGGCCCCCCACCCCCACCCCCACCCAGGCAGCTATCGCCACCACAAATCCTTCCCGGTTCCTGGAATTCCGGACCTCTACGCCTCCTCCACACTCTTTGCCCATCCAGTGGGTCATCTGGAGCTGATCCCTGTCCCAGCAGGCGTTGGGGGGGGGGGGGGCTTGAAATGGTGTCACCAGGCAGAGTTCCAAGGAGGCCCTTGAAGACGCTGGGAGGGGGGTACAGCAACCCACCTTCGGTTTCATAATATTGAAATTCAGAGAAACAAGCAGCCCCCCCCACGAATAAATTACAAAGTACTGCTCAGAAGCCCCCCCCCTTTTTCATCTAGTGCTTCCATGGTGCATCAACCGCAGGAGTCTCGTTCAGAGCGGTGGGAGAAAAGGTGTTTTCTGGACAGGTGGCGAAGACCCCTCCTGCCCTCCGCTTGCACCGGTTGTGAAACTCCTGGGACAGCAGTGGAAGCGATGGCAACGGCTCTTCGGCCACAACCGGCCCTGCCAACCTCTCTGGGGGGGCCCGGGCAGCAGCAGAACCGCCCCAGCAACAGCAGCTGCCCACCGGGAGAAGGCCAAGGCCGCAGCAGCCCCAAGAGAGGGGACGATGGTCCCGGTGCCAATGCCCAGCCGTGTCGCCAGCACAGGCTCTGGGCCGGGAGGGGGGGCAGCGCTCACTTTAGCAGGGAAATGTCATCCGCAAAGTCATCGTGGCCGCGGCGGAGGCAGCGCAGGCAGCGCCACTGGGAGACCATCAGGCAGAGAGGGAGCATGAAGAGCGCGCAAATGGCTGCCATGATGTATGCGATGGTCATCAGCGTCGACTCGTCCGTCTGGGGGATGTTGTAGCCACAGTCCTCCATGTTGGGGTGCAGGAAAGGCCCATCCACCGAGGCCGTCCGGAACGCGTCCTGCACTGGACCCGGGGACAGGAGGGCAAGAGGCCAGACGTGACTCTGGGGGCCTGACGGAGACCCATCTCAACCCGGGGCCAAGCACCAGCCCAGGGAGGGCAGAGGAGAGGCAGGCCCACACGGCCAGCTGATGTTTGGGGGAGGCCAGGCAGAAGCCAGTGGGGCTCCCAGGGGCCTGGGGAGAAGGGCCGCTCCAGGCATGTTGGTGGGCCGAAGAACCAGAACCTGCCACCGAGAAGGCCTTTGGGGGGCAGAGTGTGGCCCCGGAGGTCAGCTGAGGGGGCTGTGGGGATCAGGGCTACCAAGCTCTTCTGTGGGGAAGCAGCAGATGCGACTGCTGGCAGCACTCCCCCCCCCCCCCCGCTCTGAGACCTACCATGGCAAGTGCTGACCGCAAAGCCAATGCGCCTTTGAGCCCGGTCAAAGACCACGTAGAAGCCCTCCATGATCACAGCCCCCATGACGGTGCCGGTGGAGGATTGGGAGACGGCAAACTTGTAGCACTCGTCCTGGGAGGTAGCCACATCCTCGACTGGCCGGAGGTATTGCTGGGAGAGGAGGAGGAGGAGGAGGCAACAAAGGCATGAGGCCGGGCCGAGTCCTGGGAAAGGGTCAATGGGGCAGCAGACTCTGGCAGGAGAGCCAGGGACAGCTGTGAGCGCCCTCTGCCTCTGAGGCCGTCCTCATTTCACAAGGTCCAGCCTGAGCTTTGTTGGAAGTCAGTCCAGCCATTTCTTTGACAGAACCCATCCACAACCCCCAGCCCCCCCAGTCCCCCCCAGCCCCTCCGAGGTAGCCCCATGTACACTCCCCAACACACGCTGTGCTTCCCCTGTGCCTCATCCACCCCTCCACTCGCTCCCCACTCAGCAGCAGCCCCTTACTAACTGGCCATCCCAGGACTTGCAACTTCCTGCTGGCTTCCCCACCGACTTTGGGGGAAGCCAATGGGAAGCTGGTTCGGCTAACAACTGTGCAGTTCGGTTTATGACTACTAGTAGGACTGCAGGAATTGCTGTTGCTAAGCAACGTGGTCACACTTTGCAACTGCATCCCTTAGCAAGGAAAACCCCCACCCCAATTAGCCCTCTAAGTTGAGGATTCCCTTTTAATGCTACAGGTGTCCTGGGCTCTTTTGCTCAGCCTCCGAGTTCTTAACACTAATCTTTAGATGCTGCTTTAATGGGATTTTGAAAAGAATGGACAATTCTGTAGTTCAGGAGTTCAGAAAAGCTCCACCTTCTCAGCACAAAGACGGATACGCTCCAAGCCATACGGCATATCAGCCTTTGTGCTGAGAAGGTGGAACTTTTTTCCACAGGCTGCTCAAAGGGAAGAGAGCTGGTTTCTACCCCCAACATTCTCAACTGACTTTCCTTCCAGCTCCCCACCAATCTCCCCCTCCCCCTCGGCTGAGATTGCCCTTCAGACTCCCCCCCCCCTACTTCTGAGAAGTGGCACCCACCTGGGGCAGGATGCTGATCCGGAAGGAGTGGTTGGTGGTCTCACCCATCAAGTAGAGAGAGATGACCGGGAAGATGTTCCAAGGGGTTGTTCCCACCTGCCAGCAAACCAGCTGCTCCCCCAGCCAGAAGCCGTCCGGGAACTTCTCTGTCTGGGGTGAGGGAGCCGGGACAGAAACTGCTCACAAAAGGCGCCTGGCCCGTCCCTCTCCATGGCTTCCCCAGCTGCAGAATCTGACACGCTGGTTCTAGCAGGGACCAAGTGCAGCCCTCCCCCTCCCCCAGACAGAAGCAAAGCCACTGTTGGGGTACCCTGCAAAAGAGGGGATCCCTGCCCATGCACGGCTGCCGCCCACCCGCCGGCTCCTCTCACCGAGGAAGCTGTCTTGATGGACTTCACTGCCTCCTCAAAGACCTTCTTGGGCAGCCGAAGGTTGGTGGTCCCGCTGTCCACGATGCTCTTGTCGTAATTGTACTGGGGAAATGGGGGAGGGGTCACGATTCAGGTGCTGCCTCCACGCTTGTAGAGAGGCCCAGCCGTCCCGAGAGGGGCAGGAAAGCCGCTCGGAAGGCAGCGGGGCACAGAGGGAGGCAAGGCAGTCGTGGTGCTGATGCTCCCTGCCACAGTTCAGCTGAGCATGCAGCACTGTCCCAGGTGGCATCCCTCCCCCCCCCCCCGGCCTCTCTGGATCAGCAGCCCCTTCACCTCCTTGCAGTCCATCTGGAGGTCCTGCCCGTTGATCTCAATCTTGACTATGACAACCTCATAGTACCATTCCTTCCGGATGGGCGTGTACCAGATGTTGCCCCTGTAGAGAGTCTGGTCGATGCCCCCAATGATCTGTGGGGAAAGGGGAGTGCAGGGGAGCTCTTAGGGGCAGAATGTGGCTGGAGCCTGGCCTCCATCGGAGCAGCTGTCTCCCGCAAGCCCCCTTCTTTGGCCACAAGCGGACCCGTTTGAGGGAACACACGGGGGGCCTGGCTGTAGCCGCCTCTAAACGCAAAGGCTTCGCGTCCTCTCAGCGGAGAGTCTACTGAGGTCATTTAAAGGCCATGATGCCATAATGGGGAGCACCCTCTGCAAATAAGAGAGAGGAGAAGCCTCTGGCAGCTGCCCTCACCATGCTGCCCCCCACGGACGCCAGGGTGTCTGAATCATTGGCCGGGAAGCTTGTGCCACACAACTGCAGGGAGAAGATGTTGGCCACCTGCGTCTGCTTCACCAGGGAGTCAAAGAAGGGCTCCAGGCTGTTGTCCGGCTGGCGGGAGAAAGAGAGAGAGAGAGAGGCATGCCAACAGTGTGGCTGGGCATCCTCCCTCAGCTGGGAAGAAGCATCAGGTCAAGGCCAAGGGGATTTCTCCAATTGTCCCCCTCCCCCAGCAATATAGTGGGACTGCATCTCCCAGAATTCCTAGTTGGCTACAAATGATGGGGAGCATCCCTGCGAAATGTCTGGGGGGCAGAGGGGCAGAGCAGGGCTGGGGGGCTTTAACCGTCTTCCTGGCCTAGGCTGGGGGTTGGGTTGCTCCGGGCAGTAGGGCCTTCGCTTCGCTCCGAAGGGCTGTGCCCTAGAGAAAGCTGGGGACTGGCTTGGAAAGGGTCGAATTCTGCCTCTCAAACGCCCCAAGGAGACTCTCCTCATTAAGACCCAGCCAGCCAGCCGGCACCCTTCTCAGGAAAAGAGGGGAGGGGCTACACCATGTGCGTGAAATGAAGCTTGAGCCTTGACCAGAAGGGCAGAAGAAGCTCACCCGGGCAATTTCGGCATATGCCAGGCCCAGAATGCCTTCCCAGTTGGAGCCGTTGATGAAGAACTTGTCCGACTTGATGATGGCGGCAATGTTGGCCCGGACGGTGACATTTGGGCCATGGGGGATGGCCACCAAGTCAGTGCCCAGCTCCCCCTCCCACTTTCCTTGCGTGTAGGGCACATAGACGCCCTTCCGCAGGTCCCGGTAGGTGCTGGAGCTGCAAGGGACAGGAGCAGAGAGTCAGGGCTCACCCCCTGCGCGACCACGTTGCTCCGGACAGGCCAGTCGAGAGGGGGAGGAGGGGGCCAGAGGCTCAAAGCCCAGCATGCAGGGGCAGCAGAGGGGGGAGGGGGCAGCAAGGCAGGAATCCCCCTGCCTCTGGCAATAAGGAGCTGGGGAGCTTTGGAGCGAGAGCCCCCTCCCCTCGGACCCTTGCCTACTCACAGCTGGCGCTGATAGTAGCGCTGTAGGAACTGATGAGGGGCTGCACCCACGGCAAAGTTGCTGCTTCCTGTGTCCACCAGGATATTCAGCTGGAAGAGAGAGAAGAGGCTGGAGGAGCATGAATCCCATTCCCACAAAATACCGGAAAATGTCTCTGCACCAAACCCCACCTGCCCAGAGACGCCTTGGCTTCCAGCTGCAGTGGCTACATCTGGACTTCTGACTCACCCGGGGAGATGGGCTCTGGAAGCAGCAGACGGTTCCTCTGGGTGCTGATACCACCCAGCCCCAAGAGGAGAGGTGGGGCTTATCTTTCCTGCCCTCGGGTCTCCCCTTCTTTTCTGTGCTGGAGCCCAGCTTGAGAGGGGAGGGGGAGGGCAAGGGAGGGGCGGGGGTCTCAACTGGGCGGGCGCCCGGCCATTCCAGGAGGAGGCAGCGTTGCCAGCAGCTCAGAGGCGCCTCCGGCCGACTCAAGGTCACGCCCAGGCCGCCTTCCAAGCCCCGTGCTGGGCAGCTGCTAGACTGGCCCCCATTTGCTCCTCTGCAGCGGGGAGCTCTGGGGAGGAGCCGGAGCAGAGCACAGGCCGCTGCGCAGGAGAAGAAGCTCGCCAGGTAACCGGAACGGCGCTTCCCGAGTCAGCAAGCCTGGCTGCCCCCCCCGGCCGCTTCCTCCGGGCCAGGATGAGGCTCCCGGGCCTCCGCCATCGAGGGCGGCCCCCAAGGCCAGCAGGGCCCAGCGCCCGCCGCCCCTCACCTTCTGCGGGGGGCTTCCCACCGTCATCTCCACGTAGTAGCCCTGTCCCGACTTCCCGCGCAGGTTGTCCACCATGGCCACGAAGCTGCCGCGGCCGCCGGTGGCGGAGGAGGCGGCGCGGCGACGGCCTGGTTCCCGCTCGTCGGCCGAGCGCCGCGCCCGTCCTTCCGCCACCGGCGCCCCGGGCAGCGCGCTGTGCAGCGGCAAGCGGA